GCGGTGGGGGGCGCAGGGCTGGCTGCTGGGGGCCCGGCTCGTGTAGAAGGCGCACTCGTCGTCCAGGCAGGCCTCCTGGAAGCGCTGGGGGGCGCTGAGCAGTTCCTCCAGCCGTTGCTTCACCAGGGCCACGCTGGAGGGGGCTGCAGCTGGGGGAGCCCCGGCCCCTGCAGGTGGGAGCATAAGGGTGGGTCTACACCCAGTTATTCCGGAATAACTAGGCCAGCGTCCACCCAGCCATGCCGTTATTTCGAGAGAATCTCGAGCTAACGGACGGCGTATTCCGACTTCGGCAAGCCCCGTTGGACGAGGAATAACGCCTCTTCCTGTCGCTATTGGGAATAAGGTGCGGGGAGACCCCCCACTGCTGCTATTTCAAGTAGCCCCTCCCCAGGGTCTCCCTGCTATTCCTCCTCAGGCTCACTGGGAGGCTTCCCTGCCATGTAGCCTGCGATTTCGGAATCACTATTCCAGAAGAGCCGATTCCAAAGTAACTGTGCAGTGTAGACGTAACCAGAGTGACCAGCCTGGGGCCTACTGTGCCCTCCGCCCCCACCCATGGTCTGGCCAGCCACAGGGGTTGCAGCACGGAGACCCGGCTCTGGGACAAGATCGTAGACAGCACCCTCGAAAGGGGCGGGGGGGAAGGCCCAGGTCCCTCCCCCACCCTCTTGAGCCACCCAGCCCTCCCTAACCAGTGCTGAGAGGAGCTGGCGCCCCCTAGAGGGGAAAGGCCCCCATCCCAGTCCCCCATCACTGAGGGCCCCCCCTGCCGCGCCCCTGCCGGCGGCGGGGGACTTCAGGGAGTGGATGAGGGGGCTGGAGCAGACGGGGCGGGGGGAGGAGAAGGCCAGGTCCCTCCCCCACCCTCTTGAGCCACCCAGCCCTCCCTAACCAGTGCTGAGAGGAGCTGGCGCCCCCTAGAGGGGAAAGGCCCCCATCCCAGTCCCCCATCACTGAGGGCCCCCCCTGCCGCGCCCCTGCCGGCGGCGGGGGACTTCAGGGAGTGGATGAGGGGGCTGGAGCAGACGGGGCGGGGGGAGGAGAAGGTCAGTGT